TCTCCTGTCTCTCCCCAGCGCAAATGCCCTAAGGCAAAAGATGAAAAGCAGAGAGATGAGACCCAGTGTGGAGGGCCTGGGCCCGCACTGGGGTGGGACTTGAGAGGTCACTGGGACTTGGCACGAGGCCGGGGTCTGGGCCCAGTGGAGACAGGCGCTCTGGGTTGGGGACACTGATTGTGCTGCTTACCACAGGCCCCTTCTGGATCTGTGCCACGCTGGCTTTTGTCCTGGCTGTCACCAGCAACCTGACCCTGGTGCTGGCCCAGAGGCGGGGCCCCCCCATCCGCTACAGCCCCCAGTTCCACAAGGGTAAGCGGGTGGGCAGGCGCCCCACCAGGCGGGGCTGGGAGCCCGGGGCGCAGGCTCACTGTCTGCTTTGCCTCAGTGACCGTGGCCGGCGTCACCATCTACTGCTACGCCTGGCTGGTGCCGCTGGCGCTGTGGGGCTTCCTGCGGTGGCGCCAGGGCATCCGGGAGCGCATGGGGCCCTACACCTTCCTGGAGACCGTGTGCGTCTACGGCTACTCCCTCTGCTTCTTCATCCCCACCGTGGTGAGTGCCGGCCCGCGGAGTGGTGCGGGGGCTGCGGGAGAGACTGGAGGTGCCAGCTGCCCGTGTCGTCCCAGGTCCTGTGGCTCATCCCGGTGCCGTGGCTGCAGTGGCTCCTGGGGACGCTGGCCCTAGCCCTGTCGGCGGCCGGGCTGGTGTTCACGCTGTGGCCCGTGGTCCGGGAGGACACGATGTGTGGGCGGGGCCTGGCCCCAGGCCTGCTGCTGACCCAGGGGTCTCCCGCAGTTGTACTTCTTCCAGCCGCTACCTCTGGAACACGTGGCACCTGCACCCCTGGCTGCATCCCTGCCCCCCACTCTGGCGCCAACCCCAATCATGCCAAAGGTGCCAGCAGTCTCCTAGAAGGGCCCCAGCCGGAGGTGGAGGTACGGACCAGCCGGGGGTGGGGGGCAGCCCTCGTCGCATCCTCGACGCCTCCCGAAGCCTTGTCCAGGCCCACTCCTAGGAATCTCTCTCTCTCAGGCAGAACGGAAGGGGACACCTCTGCCTGTCCTGCCCCCCAGGACTGAAGGCTCCCTGACGTCTCAAGATCACTCTGCTACTTGCCAGACTTTTCTTACAACGCAAACACTTTTCTTTTCTATG